CCAGAATTCCCCAGCCAGCATTCGCTGGCTGGGGAATTCTGGGAGTTGAAGTCCAGACATCTTCAAGTTGCCAAGGTTGAGAAACACTGATCTAGCAAAAGGTTCGTTACCCGGTTTTCCCAGCTTTATGAAAAATTTCCGAGACTCAGTTGGCATCCTTAGGATGTGGAGGTATGTTGTTTTGACTGGTTGCGTCTGGAGGTCAGTGGTGGAATACTATAAAAGGCTAAAAAGCAGCGGGCTCACACACACAAAAACGTAGGTGCCAACCTTTTAGAAAATGTAAGCTGGGAAAAGGCGGTGGGGGCTGGTTGTGTTCCTGTTCCTTTCTTCCTATATTAAATAAAGATGCAATCATGAAGGCAATGTATTTTCTGTTCATTGTACCTTTAACTTCACTATCTGTTACTCCAGGTTAAAGAATTGCAATTGTTAAGAGAGCAAGAATATATTCTTGAGATATTTTTTATCAGATTTACAGAACGTTATTGTTGAAAAGAGCCTAGCCATCTACAAAAATTCTCTAATGAGTTTAGACACTCAACACTTGTCAAAATTCTCTGTAGGCCTTTCCTGGAAGCATAAAACAAGCAATTCCCCAAATCTATTAAACTATAGTCAAACAGTTTACAAAAATCACCCCTGACAAAATTGTTGCGGCATGAACATAATTACTTGTATGCACGTCTTTGCTGCATCAAAACAATCTTTAGTCACCGTACCTGTTTGGTTGCTTTATACTATTTTGTTGGTTTTTAAAAAGTGTGGTAGAGAAAAGAAGTTGATGTTATTTTATTTTTTTAATTTTATCTGTCCCTTGCCATTCTTAGTTTTTACAAATTACTTGTGGTGGCTTTCCTCTTCCTCTTTTCCTGCAAAAACAACAACATTGTTAGGTGGGTTGGGCTGAGATAGTGTGACTGGCACAAAGCCACCCAGCTGCCTTTCATAATTAAGTTGAGTTTTGACATCACAGTCTCCTGATTTCTAGTCTGATTCTTGTTATTTTATGGAATTTTCATATTGTTTAATTTTCTGGTGTAATTTCCTCTATAGCACGGGTGTCAAACTCACCTCGTTGTTGTTGTCATGTGTTGTTTCACAATTTTTTCCCCTTCGCAGAGCTGGGCTGGGCGTGGCCTGCACGTAACGCATCTGCCCTGTGGGCCGCCAGTTTGACACCCATACTCTATAGGATTTTGTATACAGGTTAAAAGATACTTTGGCTGTACTTATATAGAAAGTCTATATTTAGACATGGAGAGAAGAAATACATGGGGATGTGTAAAAATAATGTAAAAAGCGTTTGCAGCTATTTCAAATAGGAAGTGAGGAAGGGTGGAAAAATGTAAAAGACCTTGTAAAAAGTGCTTCTTTCAAAAATATTCAAATGAGATTAAACTTGCAGCATTAGATGAAGAGAAGTGACAGTTTTCCCATTCCACTCTAAAAATAAAGGTGGAAAATGTTCATTCTTGTTTACTCTTATTTTAAAAGTTATCTTTATTTAAACAAAAATCAGGGGACTTTAAATGAGAAACTCCTTTTTAATAGAATGGATTCAGAAGAGGTTTGTACAACACATCCCTTAAGAGGATGGCATGATTATATGCAAGGGCAATCAAATATCCTTCTTAGTATAGTAGCAGAATAACTTTAATACTGCTTTTGTTTGTTCTAAAAATAAAAAGCATTAACAAATCTATATTGTGCTCTGAGCAAGAGCTGAATCTTGTTTCTATGTTAGATGCTTCCTAATCAGATTCAGTTCACATACATTTGCACATGGTTTAAACATATGTTTACACTTCTTCTACGCTTTGCATAAAGTTGCTTAGCATGAAAGAGAGTTGCATAATGGGTGTGTATGTTTAGACAAGAGGGAATGTCTATGCAATTATAAAGAAGCTATGCGCATACATTTCCCAATCATTTATACAGGAATAACAGCCACTTTTTAAAAAAAGGAACAAACTTGTTTTGATGAGACATAATAAAGTAGCTAATTATTATGGCTTTTGTTTCTTTGTATCATGGCTTTTCAGAGTATAAAATGCATCCTTTATTTTCACAGCCTTGCTTTAGTTTGGCTATATACCATATCTGAATGTCTTCATCATTCCCCTCTCCTCGTTTGTTCTCAAATCTTTGTGTCCTTGGCATAATTTCAAGCTTTACTTCTCCTTCACAAATACTTTTAAAAGTACATTAATTCTATGAAGCATCACAGGAATCATTTGTGATCATTTACATTTATGCTCAAACTTGTAGTTGTTTATATTTCTATATTAAAATACTTTGATTTTAAATTTGAGGATTTAGGATTATACTATTTTCTATAGTATAATATTCATACATCTAGTCATTGCTTAACACCTGTTCTATATGAATTGAGATGGGAACCACATCCTGTTATTTCTATCTCAGTAATTTTGCAGCTGTTGTTCTGTAACTGAAAGGCTGATGCTTTTTCATTGCCAAGACCTCTTGCCTTGCCACCATCTCCTTGTCTTTCTCATTTGCACTTTCCATTCCCATGAAAATAAGGGCTGCTAGCTGCCCATTTTAGCAGTTCCCCAATGCCTCACTGGAAGTGGAGAGACTAACTTAAGGTGGCGGAAAGTCAGGACACTTCAAAATTTGAAGTGCAATAGCATTAAATTGATGCTTACATCAGGAAGGGGAGGGATTTATGAAGGTGACAGCTGGGTGGAAGAGAGTTTTGCCTTCTCCTCTACTACATAGCCATTATGTTGATTTAGTAGGTTGTGGCTCACTGTGTTCTCTGAACGCAGCCACTGTAGTATATTTGTTCCTATGGTGAACATAATTGACTTAATGTGAATTTAAAAAATGGTCAAATGGTTGTTTGTGTTTGCTTAGTAAATAGAGATAGTTAAAACATGAATTATTTTAACTTTATGAACTTGACATTATATACAAATGCTTTTAATTTGGGATTGACACCTGATGTTTCCTTTTCAAAGTGATTTCAACTATAGATTATGAATAAATGTGTATTTCTACACTTATGTCTGTATCTATCCTTCTGTACCTTTCTTCCTAGCAACAGGTATTGTTAACTCTTTGTATGGCAGTAAATATTTCTCCAAATAGTAGATTGATTTAAAATGATTATTATTTATGTACTTTAACATTTATATTGCAAGTTAATAAACAGCTTTTATAGGAGGTTGATGAAGATATACACTATATTGCCAAAAGTATTCGCTCACAACCGAGTCTGATTATGTGGATGGGTGAGCGAATACTTTTGGCAATATAGTGTATCATTGAATCCAAATAAGCTATGACTAAGAATTTGAAATATGGGAATAGATACTAATACTCTTTTTGGAATCAAGTTCCTTATTTTAAATGTAATTAGGGACACACATTTATCTGATCTTAATTGCTTAATTCTGGTTACCATTCTCAGATAATCTAGATTTCAAATGTAATTCTCTCGTCTAAAAATGTAAAAATCCACCAAGCTCAGTATTGTATTTCTTATTTATCAATACTAATTCATGAAATATTAACCTGAATAT